AGCGTACGTAGCCATTCTTTGTTCAAAGCAGTGGCTTTATTATGAGAAATGAGGGTTGAGCTAATTGCTTACAGGTTCGTGGCACATGAGCTGTGGGTTCAAGGAGGAGCCCGAGGTGGCGGGAAACATCTGCAGTGGGATGCTAGAGTGTTTTGAAGTCGGGCAGGCTCTTCAGAATGCATCTGTATCCGTTCTGTCCGCATCCGAACCCTACATACCTCCATGGGCTGTACGGAATTCCTTTAGAGTGCAATACTTACACAGAGACATACGGGTCTATTATAATTAAAGTGAAACACCTGATTGTCAAGCCAGTATTTTACAAGATAAACGTGATTGTACATCTGAGAACGTGGTTTATAAAAACATACATTCCTTTGCGTATACAGCTCCTTGTCTGAAAAGCTGCATGTGAGCAGGAAGGTACTGCCTTGCCATCTCACGTCATTCCTGACGTCATTTGAGAATTACAAGCGTAACCGTCATTAAAGCCAAGATATGTAAGGTCGGTTTTACTGCAGCCGAAGCCCGCTGGAGCTCCTGGTAGAGGGGAGTTCTGGGACATGAAGCAGCTCTTGATCTGATGGAGACTTCTGAGAAGGAGAAGTCGTGTTTCAAAGCGCTGAAGTTGCCAGTGTTGTCGGGTATTTCCAGTGTCTTCAGCATCGATTTAAATCCCGGTACAGTAGCCTTAGGAGCAAACATAAAAGATTTCTGACTTGGTTCACAACACCGAGTCCAGCAGTGAAGCAACCACTGTCTAAGGGGCTAATTTACTCTTTCACCCTACAGGAAGAGCGATAAGTGCATGTTTGAGGACACAGAACGAGAAGAGTAATGCTTTTCACTGGACAGCAGCAAGACTGAGCCCCAAACCAGCCTGAGATGCAAGCAGGAGTATTTACTTGCAGGGGGACGTACGGCGTGCTGTGCAAGAGTGGGACGCCTGCGGCTGCGCTTACGCGGAAGCCCTTGGCTGGCAGCAGGCAGAGCCTGCGCTGCAGAGATGCTCTCTGATGCCAGCTGCTGCCAAGAACTGTCACCGTCACCGGTGGCGCTGTCAGCCTGTCGCTGCCTGAGGCTACGTGGATCCCTGGGAGAGCTCTGGGGTTTGTTTCAAGCATCTCCAGCTAGGGTCACCGTGGTGCAGGCACTCGGCCCAGCCGGCTCCACCGTCCAGGTGTGATGGGTCCTTATCTCTAGACATTCTGGGGACTCCAGATCTTACTGCATCGAAAAAATTCCTTTCTGCTGACTCATGTTTTAAAATACCGTTTTGTTACAGATCTGCTAAAGGGTCTTTACGGCTCCTGTACGCGCCTTGAGCAAGCTCAGCTCACTGAGGCGGCATCGCTGTGCTGAGGATGCAGTTAGAAACAGTAATTGGGCGAGGCCGCACACTTACATTGATCACGTACGTCCCAGGCAGGAGGAGAAGGAAGTACTCCCCGTGTTCATTTGTCCGGTACGGGCAGACGTGAGGCCTCCCCTCGGCTTCCACGATAGCATTGGGGATAGGATTCCCATTCTTATCAGTAACTTGACCCTTGACACCTATGAAAAAGGGAGAGAAGAGAAAGATGATGACCTGTGACTGTGGTGAGCCACCTCCTCAGAGAAAGTCAAGACGATTCGTTGCCGGACGCACTCAAAGGCTACGTCAGTGATTCCCAGCACATCTAACACCAGTCGTCACTTCTGTCTTACCGAGGGGAATTAAAGCAGAAAATCCTTTGTTGTTGTTGTTAACAGATTACCCTCACATTAAGTTAGAAAGCAGCACTGTAATCTCTGCTTCTAAATCTCATTTGCTGAAAGCATCAGAGATGCCTACAGTATGTGTCTTCTACTGAAGGGCTTCGATCTTCAGTACTGGTTTGGGGTTTGGTTTTTTTTTTGCCTTTTAATTTAACGTTTAATTTAATTTAATTTTAAAAAAGTCATCCTTTTATCGAGTACTTCCCAGTGGCGTAATACCATAACCCCTGCTTACGAAGTAGTTTCCCCTAAATCCTCACACACCACCTTAAAGGCATTGCTGGCATTACGCAAAGCTAAACCAGCAGTCAGAAATTCTGGGAAACTAAATGCAAGATAAGCAATAATTTATGCAAACCCTTCAACTGATTGTGAAGTACTGCAGCTTCACTAAGCAGCAGGCCTCTCTTCCAACTGGGAAGTGAAGATCACGCCTGGAAGGGCCTCACAGAAGTACCCAGTCCAGCCAGCAAAGAGCCACGAAACACTGCGTGTGCGCCAACGCGCACACATTTAGAGACCTCTGAAACAAACGAGCACCCCAGGGCTGTTCGGGAAAGGGGGTCCCCAAGCAGGACGTGTGATCAGATGGCCTGCTCCAGCACATTTCAGGCCCCTTGCACCACCGTAGTAGTGCCCATCACCCCACACCTGTAAGTTCTCCTCCCTTACCCATCCCTGGCCTTACAGCACGTGCTGTCAGACCCTTCCTGGAAAGCGATGGCTCCCAAGTTCACACCGCAGCTCCTCACCCACGAGCTCCAACACTGACCCAGGCTGCTGAAGAGCTCCCACTGTGCCCCCCAGCCTGGCCCCAGCTTCAGCTCCCTTCCCGCTGGCAGACCCACCCAGGTGCACTTGTTTTATGTATTCGATCAGGGCAACTTTGTTGTCTCTCCAGAACTTTTCCAGCTGGTCTGCTGGAGGGTATTTACAACATGACAGCTCCAGTGTAATTTCAAAACACTGTCCCCAGATGTAGTTGTAATCTTGCATTCCACCTGAAAAGAGAAATAAAACTCTTCAGCTGCAAAGAGGCACCAAATTCAAACTAGAAAAAAAAAGAGAGTTACAAATGCTGGTACTTGCATCACCTCTAAGAACAGTATGTCAGACAAGTTATTCCTCAGTGCCACGCTCGAATCTACTGCTTCCTGTGGAAAACCAGCTTAATTACTCTAGTTACATGTAGAGTGCTGTTTTCTAAAGCACGGTGGCATTTTGGGAATGATGATGACTATGGCTGAGGAAGGGTGGGTCTTTGACTTAAATTCATTCAAGGACTCCCAGTGAAATTGGGGCAGACAAATTCACAGGCTGGCCTAGAGTTTGGCACTGCCAAAGCCATCCGAAAAGCCTTTAAAGGCTTTGTATTCAGATCATGAAAGCAACACGCAGGACCCATATTCTGTTTGGCTACACATAAACAGTAACGAGAACATTTACTTTGGTCATAAAACATTAAAAAAAAAAAAAAGGATGATGTATGAACAGAAGAAGATTGGTTTTCTTTCTGAAAGGACAAGACCTTGGTGCCACACCAGCTATAGCTATACAGCTGTGCAGGCCTTGGGAAAGGGCACAGAAGCAGCCAGCCAGCCAGCACAAACTGCCTCATTTGGTAACTCGTGTAACTCCTGGCTGGGGGAGTCTGCAAACACCCATGTCCTGCTCAGAGAATCCGCACAAACGCGTTGGCTCACTCCCCTCATCAACCCTCCACTCTGGGCAAAATCACAGCCCTTTCACTATCAAAGGTGGCAGGAGAAAGCGAGAACATCACATCTGACCACTGCTGTTCTCACCTTCCAGCTGGTACCAGGAATAGCCGTTGGTAATGCCTTGTGGGAAGGTCTGCCTGTTGTCGCACCCAATCCCTCTGTACATGCTGGCATGGTTGAAAGAGTAGGTCTTTGCCAGGTGAATAAAGACATCGTCATCCGGAGACCTGCTGTAGCCTTTCAGAGAGCCGGTAACTGCAGGATAAAGGGAGCCACCATGTAACACCCATTACTGGGAAGACACAGGATAAGTATCTCCCAAATACCCCTATCGGGCAGTGAATCTTGAAGGTGTTTTATCAAAGTCTGCCCTGTTCGGCTGAAAAGCTGGAAAAGCCTTGCAGAAATCCTTATAAATTTTGCTTTGGTACAGCTGCTGTTCCTAGACGACGTCAGCTGTGGAGGAAGGAGTTTGTCACTTACCGGAGTTACCATTGTCAAAGGTGTAACTGGCGACCAGGGCACCCCCGTGCAAGTTGGCCGAAAGAACAAATGTTTCGTTTTTTATCCAGTCCATTATGGCTCGAGTCTCGGGCTGAATGCTGGCGTTGTTATTTTCAAAGGCATCAGGAAAATTTCTGTTCAGGTCTTCCCCATTCTTATTGTACCTTAGAAAGAGAGAAGACAGTTCCCATTACGGTTTTGCCTATAGACACTTCCGCATCGCCAGCCTCCCAGGACTTCAGACACATGGCAGGCTGGTGTCTTCAGGAAACAGGCAAGAAAGTGTTTGAGAAGATTTGCAGGGGTTAAGATCATCACAAAACAGTTTGGGTTGGAAGGGACCTTGAAAGATCATCTAGTTCCAACCCCCCTGCCATGGGCAGGGACACCTTCCACTAGACCAGGTTGCTCAAAGATGATGGGCTTCAGTTTGCTTTCTGGCAGCACTGGAATTTTCAGAGGACACAATGAAACAATTCTGTTGTATTTCAGGTGGAAACTGTGGATAATATTTGTGTACAGCATGTACACACCTACACACACGGGAATTAGAAAGACCCAAGGAGAAGGATGTCCTTCCGTATGTGTTTTTCACACCTGTACAGAAGACCAAGGTAACTACTGGATGGCTGTGTCCCTCGTACCGCTGTCACTCTGAATGTAGAGCAAAACACTTGACTCCCACACAGGATTTATTCTCTTTCCCCTGTACCTGAAGGTGCAGCCTATGCAAACATGGTCTTCCTTTTTCACTCAGACAGGTCAGCGCAGAGAGGGTATTTAGCATCACCCGTGTTGTTTTTAAAGTGAAACTGTCTATTTGACAGCGAGGGGCTAAAAAAACGCTACCCTCTATAAAAGTCCTATCTATTTTCTGAGTAATCAATTTCTTCCCTAATAAAAAGGAGGGCCTACACTAGTCACCTGCAGAACTAAACTACCTAAACTACCTTTCTGCTTGCTTCCGGCGTTGCCATGGCCAGTGATCCAAGAGAACTTCTAGCTCACGAATTTGCTTTTTTTGCACATTCTGACGTTGTCCCTTTGGTATTTCTTCCTGTCCTCTCACTCTCTCCTTCCCTCTTCTAGCTCAGTTCAACTTTTCCTTCCCTTTTTGGCCTCTGCAGTAGTTACATTAAAGAATGCAAAAGGCAGGATGCAACACCAGGTTACGTTTTCTTCTGTGTTTCCTCACACTGCTGTCAGCACAGCAGGCGTTACGCTAGCTCTGCTTGCAGAACTCCTCCCTCTTACGAGCTCTGCATTCAACACGATCTTCAAATGCATTTGTAGAAGTCCATTCAACTAGCTCAGACACACCTATTTCTCATTAAGAAAGGTTAAAGAGTTCTCCAATTGAAATAGATCCCCGTGGGTGGAGTTTTCATAGCACCCTAAAGGTCTAAATAGGTAATTGTGCTTCTATTCACGGTCTGGGTCTCCTGCCTAAAAGGTTAGGTCATTACACCATTCTGACCAGTTTTTTCTAGCTGCACCACATATAAACACCAGCCTGACTCAGTCTTCCAAGAACTCTACGCCCATAACAGTGTGTCTTCAGAACAGCACAGGCCAAAATTAGCCCGGAGATGTCCTCTAGGCTATCCTCTCCCAGCATGATTCAGTCTCTTGGCTATCTCCAATTACTACTCCCCACCTATTTCCTTTACCTACTCCCACCCTCCTAAGCCATCCTTACCTTCCTCGTGAGTAATAACAATCAGGCACTTTGGTAGCTTCAAATCCATCAGGATTCATTGTTGGCATGATATGGATCCGGGTATTATTGAGTAAACGGGTAACATTTGGGTCACGTCTGTAGTTGGTCACCAGGAAGTCGATCAAATGGAGCAGGATTTCTCTCCCAACAGTCTGTATAAAGAAGCATAGATTTTATTTTAAGTCTGCTATGGAAAAAGGGAAAAAAAAAACCAAACAAATCCACAGAACACCCACCACCTTGCACCTACAAGTTCTGGATCACACAGATGTACAAGGCATACAAGAGCATTCTGGTCAACACTCTTGTTTACATAGCTGAAGCAATTTAACAGATGAAAGAAGTCACTGGAGGGTTTTAAACGCAGATCAACCACAGCTGTTTCTGCAATGGGAGACTGACCTTGCTGCCACCTGCACTGCTTAAATCCTGCATGCATAAGGCATAGCCTTATCAAAAAACAAAACTGCATAGGCTGCCTGTTAAAGATCCTGGGGGTTTGGAAACGTGTTCTCTCACTTGCACTGCAGAGTCAGCTCTGTGCCAGCGCCTGAGGGACCCTAGGGCCTGCATGTAAGCGTCAGTGCTGTGCATCCCACTTGGCCGTGACGGTTCAGAAGAAGGGAAGGAGACTCCTTCCACGTTTTCCAGGGTGTTTCAGAGCAGATTTTTTTCTTGTTGATCTCTTTTGCTGGGAAGTCAGCTTTAATACTGGGTCAAGAGAGGCTGACTCCCAGTACAGGGAGAAGAGATGCCCCACTTTTGTTCTGTTTGCTGTTACATTGCTTTAGTTTAATGCCACGAACATGGGTATTGGGGAAATCAAACAGGTATGGAAGGACCATTTGGGTACAGACTTTGGCTCAAGGAAAGGCAGTGTTAGAGAAAAAGCTAAATAAGTATTTTGTTCATGTAACTTTGTATGGGTCGTGAAACCTGGCAGCACATCTCTGGTGTCCTCTATTAGACTTCAGCCAAAACGGTGGCAAGTTCCAGCTCTGGTGAGTTAGGAACAACCCTACCACAGAAACCACTAGTACAGTGTTCACTGAACTGTACTTTCCATAGCACTGTGACCCACACCTCGAGGACGCTGCAGGGTTCCCAAGCCCTGCCTGGGCTGGGAACAAATCACGACTTGCAACTAGATGCGCTCTGGAGATAGTTTATCTTTAACTCCAGGAACAAAGCCTGGTAAATCACTGCAGGCTCCAGTTCAGAGCTACAGTGCCTCAGTCTTTTAGAATGAGTCTTGCACCACTGAGGTGGAAATATTGCAAAGATTGGGGTTTTTTCCCTAAAGCAAGGAACACGGAGTGGCATTACTGGATGAAACTGGTGTCGTAGATACACATCGCCTTGCTTTCAGGCTGGTACAGGGTAAGGTAAGAGGTAGGTGGAATCAGGCAGGGGAAAAGGAGTATTTCTCCACAGCTATTTGCTGTGCTAATAACTTGTTGAATTTTCACACTGGTGCGTTTTAAGTGGCAAATCCTGCTCTGGGTGTTAAGGGAGATGGGAGCAGAGACACCGTCCAGCAGGAGCTCTGCCTGTGGGGGCTGGGTTGGTACACGACAGGGCAAGAAGGGCTGGGTGTGACTGCTGTTCAGGTTGGGAGCAAACCAGCGAGCCAGCAATGGCTGTTCACTGCAGGAGAAACAAACAACAACGTAGCGCCGAACACGACCCCGCTAAGGTGCGGATCACACCGTTTCATGCTGTTGCACAGGGGAAAAAGAAGGCTCTCTTCCCACTCTGCCCCCCAGCAGATTTCATCCCAAGTTTTCTAACCCTTGCCTGTCAGCTCCTGGTGGTCTCCTGCAAGCTGCCATCCAGCCGTACCAATAACTAAGTGGTTCTTTTTCGAGATGCTACATCAAATTCACTTTGACAAGGAGGGGGAAAGGCACCTCATTTCCTCCACTGCCAGTAGCTTTCAAAACAGCACCTGAGTACATGAAAGCAGACTGCTGTACAGGTTGGAAAGACTCTGTGAAATTTATGAAGGGATGCAACAGAACCTGTCTTGTACAGGCAGCTCAGTTCCAGCTGGGTGACAGGCACCCTGGGAAGCCCACAGAGCAGGAGGGTAAAGAAAGGAGGGGAGAGGTGTCAGCCAAATCATGGCCCTGGGCATGAGAGATAAAGCTAGCAGACTCAGAAGTAACAAGAACAGCCCTACCACAGAGGTAGCTAAACTGCAGACAAGACTGGACTGCTCTCGGAGGAACTGGGAAAGTACCTCTGCTCGCACCATACTTCCCTTCAGTGCCTGACAAAAAGGCATCCAGAAAAGAACGGGTAGAGAAGAAGAAACAGGGGTGAAGGGGCGAGGAGTGCGTGGTGGTAAAGAAAAGCAACAAGAGAAGGTGGTAGAAAAGGACAAAGTTTATAAGCAAGGAAGTTGACAAGTTTTTCATAATTACATTCTTTGCATTTAAGAGTCAGACTCAGTATTTCATAAACTAACACTATTTTATAGGAGTCCTTGTATAGCCATTGTTGTACCCAAGCACTTAGTACATCTAACAATTCCGCTACTCTCTATCACAGAGAGTTGATCATTCCCTGCTGGAGGACAGTGTACTTACTACCACTCTGTGGTTGTATTTTGGCCCAGAGTAACCTGCATTACTTGAGAAAGTGCATCTAGATGTGTTTGAGGGGAGGAAACATTTTAATTTCTGGGGAAGTATAGCTCAAATTTTGATCAAACCCTTGGAAGGTATCTCCTGCCTAGCCAAGCTTTACCTTGTTACCACAGAGGGCAGCTATACCTGTGGAGAGAAGTTCAGAGACATTCACTTTTACTTTAGAACTTCAAATAAAGGATGCAGACACAGTGGAGGTAGGTTGCTGACAGTAAAGTCAAGGACAGGCATCTTAACCTGCCTCCAGTCTAACAGAAATATGCAGAAAGCAGGGGACAGCTTTTACATGCCTTGGGGCTCTGAGGAGACATGATGAGTATTTGGTTTTAACTGCAGTATCCCAAGGGCGATGCCCAGGTGCCTGGTTTTGCTATAGCTCAGGTGAGGGGCAACACAAAAGCAAAGCAAAACCCTTTCTCCCACCTCTAGGGACAGTTAGACATTAAGTTTCTCTGGGCACTTTCAGCTGTCATCTTCCCTGCGTGCCCCAAAGGGAGGGAGTCAGCAGGAATCCTTAGGGGAAGGCCTGAATGAAGAAGCATGTATGAGGGCATGGATCAACACTGCAGAAAAGGGTGAGACTGCCTTTTCTGTAGCCATACCCCTCAACTTGCTGGCTATCGCTTCTGGGGCGGCTGGGCCAGCACCCTGCTCAGCCGCTGAAGGGCTCACCCAAGAAGTACTCGCAGCAGCCAGTTACAAGACGAAGGTGCGCTCTGACTGCGCCTGCACTGTGCCACTGTACTGCAGCACCCCTGTTTTTAAAATGTTTTTGTTACCACATGATAGAGACCTAATACCAGGGGACTAGGGGTGGATAGACTCTGCCCATTTTAAGGATTAAAATTCTTTCCTTAAACATGGCTTGGCTTTGGGTGGTTTTTTTGTTTTGTTGTGTTGTTGGTGGTTTTTTTTTAAAGTCGAACTGTGTTGACAGGAAGATCCAAACCATCAGGTAGGACCTGTTTCAGAGCAACACGGTCTTGCTTCAGCCCTGACTGCTCTGGAGACCTAGCGCAGCATACCAAGCACAACCCCGCCTACGGAAGCAGAGTTACAGCAGGGAAACCAATAGCCCGCCCTGGTTTACTGCTTCAAGGTCACACTTAAGAGTCCTTTTTTAACACTTAGGCAGCACCGATTATTATGCACGGCTGCGACCACCCCACTGCGTTTGTCCTTCTTTAGTGTCAAAGGGACTGTTCATGCAAATACAGTCTGGCACATATCCATTTATTTCTATAGCAGCCATCACTACGCAAATAGGAGAGCTACCGCGTGTATGGCAGGGACACGGCAACACGGAGCCTGCTTTTGAACTCGTAACCAGCATCAGATGTTACCACCTGGGCAAATTCCACAGGCTTCTCCTCACAGGCTTCACCTGGCTGAGAAATGGATCACTTTTTCCTTCCCCACTCAGAAGAGTGGGAGTAAAGATAAGGAAAAAGGTAACTGGGGCGAGGAGGCAGCCCCACCTGTGTTGAAAGGGATCTCAGCAGCATCCAGTTATTTAAAAGTCTGTTAGCAAACAGATTTGGTTGCTTTGGATTTTGGAATCTAGTGTCTCTGACCTTCTTTACATCACAGCAGCTGATACCGAAGCCAGGTGGAAAATAGTTCATTATACATGTTTTTTTCTATTCTCTTTTCCAGAGTAGATAGATGTTTCTCTGCCACATCTCTTCCATACTATATTGCACAGTACAAAGAGCTTAAGAAAATTCCTTATAGCAGATTGTGTAGTATGTGGACGCAACTCTTTTTGTCCGAGTGATAGAAAAAAAATATGCCTTTGTTATAGTTGTATTTTGATAGTGTAATGCAGATTCCTTTTTTTTTTTTTAAATGAGTGAGGAATTCTACACAAGACTCATTAATTTGTTGTTTGGTTTTTGGTTTTTGTTGGTTTTTCTTTTTTTAAGCCCCAATTATATTGATCACAAATAAACCTACCCCAGCTCTCAGTCACACAAGCCCTAATAAGTCACCATACCTCAGGAAATCCTGTGGATATGATTATGTCTACCATGACATGGAAAACAGGGTCTAGTTGCTTTAACTTAAGTCACAAGAGAAGCCGGCAAGACAAACACATCCTTTCATGTAGCTAGCTCAGGCCTATAGTACAGGCTCAGCTTCAAGTAATGACAGAGGCAAAATACTGTTACGTGAAGAAAAGAAAGCCACCAGAAATGGATGATTTAGGAGAAAAGGGATGGTAAGAGCATTACCATCCTGGGAAAGAAAAAGTTACATTGCAGCTGCAGAAAGTTAAGGACAACGTAAACTTAATACGTTAAAGGGAACAGCAGAAGTGCTCATGTAGTTTATGCTTTGCTCAGACATGCTTTTCCTTAAACAGTTTTCCTGCTATGATATACACGGCTTAGGAACACCCTTCTAATTAGATCCCATGGTTCAGTTGTGTAGATTGGACTCACCTCATAGAGCTGGCCAAATGGTTACATATCTGCTCCATTTATGATTTAGGAGTGTTTGGGGGGTTGTGGCTGTCAGTGTTAAGTGGAATGAGTTTTTCCTCAGAGTGGAACGTATGAGTGTACACACAGAGGAAGAGAAGATCTTTTAAGGAAGAGTACAAGCCTGGGACAAAAGAGGCTGTCGCCTAATTCTGAGGGAGAGCTGCCCCAGCACAGCAGGCAACCTCTCCCTCATCTTCCTCAGTACAGGTTTCATTAACATTTCACAGGCTGATGCATTTTGTGCAGTCTGTTAGTGCCATTTTGATTAAAGTCTTACATAGCTGCAAGTGACCGAACTACCTTTAATTATTGGTTTTAATCTGGCTTGCATTAAACAAGAAGTACTGCTAAAAAATGGTGTTCAACTTCACACAGGCACACAAAGAATGGGAGAAGTCTTTTCTTGCGTTTCTGGGGATCTGGGACAAAAGTTCACTGTTTGGCAATGGCAATCACAAAATAAAATAATTTAAACCTTGGCTGGTCATGACTTACTGTATTAATAAAAATTAACCTACTTACAAAAATAAATCGTTCTAATTCTGAAAAACATGTTCTCTTCCAGGTATTGTGTACTCATGCCATTTTATTAGACCTTCCCAGTTGGGCAGTTCTCCAAACAACCTAGCTTTTCTGCCAGCAGCATGTGTGAACAGCCTACACACATGCAATTCAGGCTCCCCCCACAACTTTTAGGAGCAGCCAGCTAGCTGAGTCAAAACCAAAAAATGTCATTTGTGTGATCATGACAGGTTAGAAGGGCAGCATCACCAACCAACACTCAAGAACAGAACTTTTCTCACTTTGTACCATTTATGGGAAGCATCACTGCAGCACAAAAGACCTAATTAGATCAGTGAAGCCATTAACCTGCAATTTTAAGTTATGAAAGACCGTGGAACACAAGTTGAAGCTTGTCATACAATTAGTGCAAAACTTATCTGCTTAATATGTTACAGGGGTAGTTGAATCTTTCCCCAGTGACTAGTCCAGCAAAATTTTAGATTATGGGAAAAACTATTCAAGTTTTCCAATGCTTGTCTATATGAGGAATTCATTTCCTGCCATCTGAAATACTTTTATGGTCCGATAGGAAAAACAAACCTCAACTGTGCGTTATATCCATACACAGAAAACCCCATAAGGCAAGATCATGAGGGCCTGAAGAGGAGGAATAACTCTTATTTCCAGAACCTTCCCTAAGTGCATGCTTGGTCTAATAAGCAAGCGAGGAAGTAGCATGGCATACAGTGCTATATGGTACCTAGGCAGCTCAAGGCTCAACCCTGCTCTAACTCAGACACAGTGCCAGCTACTTGGGGGGGGGGAAGTCAGTCTTGGCCTCATCTCCTCACAAAATCAATATTCAGATTCAGGCAGTGATCCAGGTTGCCTGCTCTCCAGCAATTCCCAACCCTGTGGATATGCAAACTGTGTGTGTGTTATGTATATCCAGCTGGGCAGCGAGAATGGCAGGAGAGCTTCATTGTGGAGGTTTCGATAGGCAGAGTGGCCTCCTGCAGTCCAGTAATACTGGATTTGAAAGCCAGGCCATTCTGGATGAGATCATATCCTGCCCTCCACCTCTCTTCCACCAAAGCTGGGTCATCCATAGCCATAGGTTTGCAATTCACTTCAGCACTCTGCAGGGATTGTCATATGAAGCATCAGTTCCCAGGCACCCTGGACTCCCCTGCTGACACACCTCAAGTTTTAGGGTTTGCAAACCCTATCTTGGGCATCCAGTAACACATGTACCCATTTGAAACCATGAATCAGCTTCCTCCTACACAGCGTTAAATTCCAAGGCAGTCAGAGTCCCAGCAGCACTTTGAGCACAGCCACCATCAAACACGGTAAAACTAGTCTAACTTGGGGAAAATTCTTGGCATGTAATGTCACAAGTGCCTGTAGGCATGCAAGTGCTCACACACAGTACCGGTAACAGCAGTAGCTTGTGACATGTTATACTTTACATAGGACACACTTCCAACTACACCTATTTTCCTTAGTTTTGGGAATTCACAGTCCAGCATATATATACATATATATAAAATATGCCATTTTTGTTGAATTATTTACTCTTCACATTAAAGACTGCATGGAAGTATATTGTGTAGTTTAAACTTATCCTGAATATGACTAATACAAACAGATAAAGCTAAAGAATAAGGGAAATAGAAAGCAAGAAAAGATCACAGAGAAGAGTGAAGCTTTGAGTCTTTCTGTTCCAGATTCAGGTACTACACCAGGAAGGCTCATCATAACCATTTTCTGCTTTCTCATAAATAATTGGCCATTCTCTCCTGAGAAAGTTAATCCTGAAGTTTTTTGTTTTGTACTCACTGTGTTATCCCAGGTGAATCTAGGTATTCCTAGCTTAAGGTTCCCAAGAGAAATTTTCTTCCTAAAATAAATGATTTGATGCTTCACAGAAATTACTATTCAGTCTTAGGATGTATGAGTTCTATCAGTCATACTTCATGCCTAGGCAATAACAATGTACAAGCAAACTATTGCAGGTGACTCACTGCCAGGAAAGTTAAAGCCTCTGGGTTTATTCACGTGGAGAAGACAAAGCGCTCTACTTCAGAGAGCTCTTTGGTGCAGGATTCTTCACCGTGATGTAAGGTCTCCTAAAGCCCTTCCACCAAAACAAGGGAACTTTATTTTTGAAATTCCTCAAGAAACACACAAATATTTGGTCCTCTTTGGGGTATGACATACCTCAGTAATAAGTAGCACATGCCCGAGAGACGTTCACTCTAAACCTTTGGTAAGTGTATGCGGTATAAACGACATTGCAAAAGTTGAAACGTACCTCATCCCCATGCATATTAGCAACATACTTGAACTCTGGAATGCCAATCTTATGATGGGTTGGAAACCTTCCCAGAACAAGAACCCACAGGTCTCTACCTTTAAAGAGGGGAAGGGGAAAAGACATTTTTTTAAACAAGTGTAAAATCATACAATGCTTAGAGAGAAAAAAAAGTAAAGAGTTGGTCACCAAGACCACCGTCCAAATTCTCCTATTTCATTGCTGCCCAGTCAGTTTTATACACAGCATATCAAAATAGACTGGGGGTTTTTGACTCTGTGAGTACTTGCTAAATTAGTTACAGGAATAAATAGATTTTGACAAAAAGTGTGTAGTGAACCCTGTGATTTCAGAAGTATTTAACCGGTGCTAGAAAACAGTTTGGGGCTTTTCGGTAATAACAATTTTTCACATCGAGTTTAGCAAGCAAGATCTCGTCAAGCAAAATCACCAAGCAACTAAAGAGTATTTAAAAAAAAAAAACCACTCTTCCTCCCAAAATACTAAATTATACTGGTTTTCTCAAGTACATAGAGAAGTTCTGATCATCACAAAGAAAGAGCACCTTTTTTAAATTAAAGACAACACAGCAAAGCTAAACAGTCATGAGTTACTGCTCAGAAAACAGGAGATGCTGGGCAGAGCTGTATCAGAGATATTAAAAAAAATCAGCAGGGAAAGAATTAATAGCTACAGGAAGAGTATTAGTTAGGACCACTGAAGCTGCACAGGAAGCTGAATTTTAAGTTACGAACTTAAGGGGAGAGGGAGGCATTTTTTGTTATTATTTTTTAATGATATTGTGGCATTTCAGATCTCATTTGCAAAACTATGCTTCCCCGCTAGTCCGCTCAAGGAGGTAGAAAGCTCAAGTTTCAGTAGGTGGCGGCAATGAAACGGACCGGTTCTTCGCTCACGGCAGTCACAGCCTACGGATTGCTAATGCTTGATGCACGCTGCCTGTCCCCAGCTCCCACACGGGGCGCGACACGGGGACCCGCGAGCTGCCTCAGGAGTCCAGCCGTCATTGTTACTTACAGGAAAGGAGAACAGGTGCTGCTATATGTAGTATTATAAAAAGCATTATTTCATAAGTCTTTGTGGACCGTGAACTCTGTGGTAAATAAACTGTAGAGCACAGCAATTTCCCAGGGGTGGAAGCCGTGACCCTCGTGGTACAGCTGCAGAGAGCCAGTCACGTAGCTAGAAGGCACACAAAAATGCTGCAGCAACTGCAGTACCTTCAGGAACGGGAGCAAAAAGTTGCAGAGGACAGAAGGAACACTACAGGATGCACTGAGACGTCTGCAAGACAGGTGAAACCGAAACTGGTGGCTGCCAATCGAAATTCTCACTTCAGAGGCTGAACTGTCTCAGGCTCAGGAAGCAACGAGACAGCATTGGGAGCAGGCAGATTCAACAAGGAGCGGTCTCAGGATCCCCTAGTTTTACACAGTCACTCCAGAAGACATTTGTGTTCAACCCTTATAGCCATGTCATGCACCAAGAGGTGAGGTGCCGCTATTGACTCTTCATTAAAGAGCAATGTGAGCAAGCAACCCATACTTGTAAAAATCAGTTCACAGTAAGTGCTTCAGTGAGGAAACCAGTTATTTGGCTTTGTTGTATGCAGAGTCACTCTTCAATTAAAAAAATAACAAATAATAGCTTGATTCTGTAAGTCTTGACAAGTTATAGGGTGGAGAAACCAGAGATGCTAGCTTCTAAACACACCTCAAGAAGGAAAGAGAAAGAACCCCAAATTCCCACCACACTAGTCCTTCTCCCCCCTCAAAACCCCCAGGTGTCCCCTCCAACCTCAGCCATCCTGCAGTTCTGTGAAAACAGAGGTATCCTGCTGCAATAGTACATGTTTGGAACTAAAAAAAAAAATCCTAGTCGTGCAAAAAATGTGCCACTTTTATTCATAATCAAGCGTGGACAGCAATCTCAATTTCCATCCCTGCAAATGTGTCATCCTCTCCACGGTTGTATGCAGGGGCAACCTACAACAAAAAGTACCAGGAAATCTTTCCAGAGTGCTCCTGAATGTCTTCGTCCTTATGTCCCCCTAAGCCATTCTGCTCAGCTCTCCGTCCTTCTACTGAAAGGAAGTTTCAGCCACCCTTCCTCGGTGCCCAACTTGTTCACTGCCGCATGGATGGCTGTGCCAAGAGGAACATACCTGCTTACAGCTGCAAGCACACACTTTCTGCCACAGCCCAAACCGAAGATGACTACTGTGAACCTGCAACGTGCCGCTTTGCCAGCTAGGGATTCAGCAGAGCAAGCCAGAGTGCCAAAGAGCACATCCAAGCTCTAAAAGTCAGCGGTGAAATGATGAGATCAAGGTAGCAAAGGACCTATAGTGGAGACCTGACAGTGTCCCAGCTCTCTCCTAGATGGAGGTGGGTACAGCTGAAGGGTACAACACACGGTTTCCTGCAGAAGGGACATAAACCTTCTATAAGGTTACAAAGTCATTCAGCCCTGGGACTGCCCGTTATCCACTTGAGTACCAAGCACACAGAGAGGGCTTCAAAATAGCTTGGAGCCAATGGGTTCAGTGAATTACATGTAGAAAGCCCTCTTGGAGCAAGTGAAGTAAGTGCTGATTAAAAGCATTAGTTTCCTCAAACCCTTGATCACTTCCTATACAAGCACAGAGCAGTGACCTAGGTGAGATAGCTTAGTGCAGAATCCAGGCATTAAATCAACCAATATATTTACTACATTTAGGTTACCTCTCTGTACATAATTATTATCTAATATATAAAATTCCCAACCAATCACAGCAGTCAAACAATACAGTAGTGCCTAGAACATGAAGCATCTTATGTCATAAATAACCAGACATTAAGATCAGCCGCTGGCTTTATTTAAATGGAAGCAGGTCACAAGGGCTATTTCAGATCCAACTACTAGCAATGAAAATATCCACAGCCACCGCATACAGACTTTTTGGAGCATCTCATGAGCCAATGCAGAACACTGCCATAGTCTTTAGCCACTTCCCTGTAGCAGCACTAGTATTCAGTCACTATTATATGTACACTAAAGCAACAAGTGTTACAGCTAAAGTGCTACACTTATTTCTGCCATTTAAGACCTTCTACAAGTAGTATTGTATTCTGATTTAAAATTAAGAAGGAGATCTCCAGTGCCTTGCCATCAGCAGTGCTGCAGCTGTGATGCTCCCGCCTGCTGTCACTGTGAAATTGCACTCATGGGAAACATGAGGAAGACCTAAGTATAGACTAGCATTAAGTACCGATTTAAATTGGTCTTTCCAGCATTAGTGTTTAGACTGTTTATAGTTTGTGTGAGGGCCATCTAAATGATAAACACTCCCATGAACTGAGACGCCAATTATTTCCTGGCATTTCCAGCTTGTGAGAAGTATTAAACCTACCATTAACAATTGAAATAAATTCCTGGGTCTGCTCAGCCTGCAGTACTGGATAGGATACCTATGAGGGATGATGTAAGATTTCTTCCCATACAGCAGTAAGTTACTGCATATAAAAAGATTCAGCATCTAGATAAAGTTTCCTTTAATCAGTAAAGCATAGATAACACTGGTTTTGTACCTGAAGTGAACAGCTAAGCTACCTCCCATGCTTTGAGTCAACTGAATGTCTATCAAAAAAACATTTCTCACTGCCAAACCAAAACTGACTTCAACTAATTAGTGAAATATATTTCAAGTAATCAAGACAAACACGTGTTTCTAACTGCATGTCTCAGGACAAGTAACAAGACTTGTATTGGAACAGAACCAGATCTCACAGCTTCTACTAGAATGAACAAGTTGGTTTGTTTGAAGTTTTCTAGCACTGCCACAGTTCATAGCATTGTATCAGTGTTCTAAACAGATAGCCAAAAAATGGGAATTAAGATGGAGAATTGAAATTTACCTCCAGATTTAGCAGGAAACCCACCCAACCATTTGCAGATGTTTGGGTCTGGACTGCACTCCCTGGTTTGTTTTGTTCAGAAATGCATTTCTACTTTTCTTCACTTTGTTCTTCACAGCTTCACTTATGAAAAAGAACTGTTGTGTTTCAAAGAAAGTTATGGCTAGGAAGTCAAGTGAAATGAGTTGGAAATGCAGCAGACCTACTTTCAGTACCCCCCTGGCTAGGCTACAGATTCAAAAGTTTGCATGAAGGTCCACATTGACCCAGAAAAAAGCAATACGCTGACTGGCTACAGTCCTCCTGGGCTGGCCATGTGTTGCACACTGACTTCATGGATGGGAACTGCAGTAATGCTGTTGAGGCAGTCCCTACCTAGAAAGGCACAGGACAGAAAGAGGAGGAAGAAAGATTGACTCTCATTAGATGGCAAGGTCCAAGAACAAGCTAATCAGGGAAACAGTCACAGAACCATAAACCAACCCAGGCTGGAAGGGACCTCAAAAGATCATCTGGTCTAACCTTTCATGAGAAAGGGAGCCAAGATAAGATTATCAAGCACTTTGTCCAATTGCACCTTAAAAACCTCCAGTGATGGGGACTCTATCACATTTGATAGTGAATGAATGCTCTCAGTGAATGAGAATGCTCGCAGTGAATGAATGCTCTCACCATTAAAAAAAAAAAAAAGTTCTTTCTTATATTAAGATGAAATTTCTCATGGTGAAACTAGTATCCACTGCCCCTTGTCTTTTTCCGTATGGCTCTTTGTGAAGGGAGAGCCTCCATCCTCCTTGTAGCCACCATTTAAGTACAGAATCCTGTGATGAGGCTTCTCTCCCTCGAGCATTCTCTTCTCCAGGGACAAGAGCCCAAACTCCTTCAGTCTCTCCTTACAGGGCAGGTTCTCCAGGCCTTTGATCATCTTTGCCCTCACTCCAAACCCTCTTCCCCCCCGCCCCATCCCTGCTTTGGACTCTCTCCAGTCTGTCCACATCTTTCTTGAATTGTGGGGACAACTGCTGGACATAGTACTCCAAAGGCAGCCTGCATGCACTAAGTGGGATGATCACACCTTTCTCTTGGCAATGCCCCTGCAGATGCAGCCCAGGATCTGATTTGCCTTCGTTGCTGCAACAGCACACTGCTGACGCACATTTGGCCTGTCGTCCACCAGGACCCCCAG